CCGACGGATCGGGAACCGACCGTTATCGGGATCCCAGCGGTATTGGGATCCCATCGGGATCCCATCGGGAAACGGGATCACACTGGAATTATGTTACAACCGGGATCGGGATAACACCGGGAAACGGGGACCCATAAGGATCGGGATCCAACAGGGATTAGTATCTCACCGGGATCGGGATCCTACCGGGACCGAGATACCGACGGGATCGAGAACCGACTGCACAGGGGTCGCAATACGACTGGATCGGGAACCCACAGGTATCGGGTTCCCACAGGTATCGGGATCCCACCGGGAAACGGGATCCAGTTGGAGTCCCTGTAGGATCGGGATCCCATTGGGGAACGAAAGGTTTACAAAAGTTTTTTTTTTAATGTGTTTTTATAGGAGACAAATTATTTCTTATATTTTTAACGATATATATACATATAAAACTCTCAAGTTTAAAGACTTTAATAACACTATATTAAAATACATTTGCATCAATTTTCAGGTTTTTAATTCTCACTAAGTATCAAACGTGAGCAATCTTTTTATGTTTTCAAATTATATTCTATAATAAAAGCAAAACTTTTAAACAAGGGTATGGTGTTAATTACAAATTGAATGATGACGTCATACTTTAAAAAATGTAGTTATTTTTAGCATCAGTGTTTCTTTCACCTACCTTTCCGGGAGGGCACCTTGCCCCCCCCCCCCCCCCCCCCCCCCCCCCCGCACAATGTGTACAACAATATAACAAAAGTATTTTTTTTTAATTAAAAATGACATATGTATATTAACTGGTGTCTTTAACCAATTAAAATTAGTGGAATCTATGAAATATCGCTAGGCTCGATATATTTGATGATCCGTGTAATGACGTCAAACGGTTAAAAATATAACAATTTGAAGGGAGGCCACTTAAAAATTAGCCCTGATTTAAATTTACAATTCTTATCCATCTTTGATAGGAATGTTGCCAAATGGCATCACTGCACCATATAGGGTTAAGGCTAATCACTTTACATTATTCGTTTACCGTATAAAAATCGCACTGACCGCCACAGTCTTACTTCCTATTGTTCCCATACATCGCTATTTTTATTTATTTATTATTTGCAACTTTACAATTTTAAAGACTATAATGACACTGTATTAAAATATATTTAGATACCTCTAAAGGTCTACAATTTTCATTATGGTTAGTCAAGTATCAAACATGTGCAATCTGTTTTCAAATTAGAGTTCATCGTAAAAGCGTGACTAAAAAATGAGGCATCATGCTTTTTTTTTTTCTTTTTTTTTTTAATTTAGATTTTAAAGTGCGCAAATAAATATTGCACGTTTAATAAATTATTATTTAAATCAAAAGTGCTTTTGTTTTTTTTAAATGGGTTACCTTTTTTACAAAGTTTTTTGATTTTTTTAAATTTTTTTTTTTTCTTTTTTTTTTTAATTTAGATTTTAAAGTGCGCAAATAAATATTGCACGTTTAATAAATTATTATTTAAATCAAAAGTGCTTTTGTTTTCTTTAAATGGGCTACCTTTGTTACAAAGTTTTCTGAATTTTTTAAAAATACATAGCCGCTATTTAATATTATTAACTTCCAAAATAATGTTCTCTTTGTAATGTCAGAATAACAAAGTTATTGCACTCATTTTTTTACATTATTATTATCAATTTTATTTTAGATGATAATCCAGAAAAAAACTAAGAATTTTTTTAATTTTTTTTTTATTTTGCATAACACAACTTTTCACCAGCACTGCTTGGAAAGATGATAATTAAGAAAATTTCCTTATCATATCTTTAAGCCCCTAAAATATTCGAGTCACCCTTCAGTCGTAGGGGTTGCTGGGCGCAGACGTTGGCTCTAAGGTTAAATGACACCTACATTTTAACTAGGATCTCTTCCGTTGATCTCTAATTAAGTGTAGAATGTTGCAAAACTAAATTCAGATATTTGAAAAAATTAATTCTTGTATTTTGAATTTATCAAAAATTTTGCGGGGATTATAATGATTTAAAAGGCAAGAATAACCTAGGGCCAAATCGTACCCTCAAGGGTGGCATAACTAGAGTGAATATAGTTTACGTCCAACTGGTGCGAAAGTTAAGATGTCTTGGGTCATTATTATGGCTAATTTTGCTGAAAGTTTGAAATGCCACCTCAAAATTGCCTGGAAGAAACAACAAATTCAAGTATGTGCCAAAATAAATGCACCCCTGCATTTTTAGTTTGTCCGACTGAATTTAGAACCCTTAATTATGCACCCCTTCTCTCACGCTATGTTGTTGATTATAATCTTATGCCTAGTTATTACTCTGGGGCAGGCCACAAACGGAGTGAATTCAGGTTATATAAGGCACTGTGCTAAATAATGCCTCCCACAAAACTTTAAAAATGCCTTTCCCTGTTCAAAAGGTATAATAGAAACATCGAATTTAAGTAGGCCTATACTCAAAAATACACCTATTGATTTTGAAATAATCAAAAAAATTTTGGGGAGCAGGCTCCCCAAACATCTCCACCGATCAAGATTCATCCGCCACATCGATTTCCACTCTACTTCTCAATGAAAATTATCGCCGATTTTGTTATCAATAGATACACTGCCCAGTGGCGTAGCTACTAATAGTGCTGCCATGAGCTGCCAAATATTTTTGCTGTTCTCCCTTTCACGATTCAAACTCTAGAGTTGTCCGAAATGCCACACCGGCATATAAAGAAAAAGTGACACCTGGGTGGATCACTCTATCAACTCTATTTTGACGCCACTAGCAGGTGTGTATCTACAGTGTTTGGCGTCAGGGGACAAGATTCATTTTTACGCCCCCCTACAACTCTGATACCAATTATTTTCAACCAATTAATTCCATCAAAGCCCATTTTTGCCACCCCCCCCGGCAAGTATGGCGCCCCGGGATGCATGTCCCATCTGCCACCCCTTAGCTACGCCTTTTGCCACTGGCAAATGGCAT